ACTCAACCCAAGTGCCCAACTCTCGCTGCATTTCTCTCCAAAACTGCAAAGTGAACTATGTGCCTCGATCAAAAATGATGGAAATGGGCACGCCAGGCAAGCGGATAATCTCTCGAATGTAAATCTAAGCCAATCACTCTGTAGAATAGGAAGCCACCATCGGAATATAGTGTGCAGACTTAGTCAACTGGTCCATAATAACCCAAACTATATCATATTTCTTCAAGGTCCATGGCAAGCCTACCACAAAATCCATAGAGATGCGTTGCACTTCCACTCGGGTATCTTCAATCTCTAAATCAACCCTCTTGGTTTCTAATGCTCATACTTCACCTGTTGATAATTCAAACACTAAGAGACATAAGGAACGATATATTTCTTCATTCTCCTCCACTGATAGGGTTGTTTTAAGTCACGGTATATCTTCGTGACACGTGGGTGAATGGGTTAGCGCAAGCTGTAAGCCTTCTTAAGGATCAAATCTCTCAACCCATCCACATTTGGAACACAAATACGGCCTTGAAACTGCATAACACCATCATTACGTATCCAACTTCCTTGGCACCACCCCGCTGCACTATGTCCTTTAACACCAACAAGTGAGGATCATCAAACTGGCGAGCCTTGATACACTCCAACAACGATGATTGAGCCACAACACAAGCAAGAACCCGACTAGGCTTCGAAATATCCAATCCCAACTGCTTGGCCAAAGCCTGAATATCCATGGCTGGTGGCCTCTCTGCTACCGATAAATATGCCAAACTGCCCATACTCTCAACCTTCCTACTCAATGTATCGGCTACCATATTGGCCTTCCCCGGGTGAAATAATATGGTGATATCATAGTCTTTCAGCAACTCTAATCATCTCTACTGGCGCAAATTAAGATCATTCTACTTGAACAAGTGCTGGAGACTCTGATGGACGGTATAGACCTCACAATGAACAACGGTAAATTAGTCCTCCAAATCATCAATGCATGAACAATAGCTTCCAACTCTATGTCATGCACAGGGTAATTCTTCTCATGAACCTTCAATTGTCGAGATGCATAGGCAATTACCTTACTGTCTTGCATCAATACTACGCCAAGCCCAATACATGACGCATCATAATACATAGTGTAAGATCCCGAATCTGTAGGCAACACCAACACGAGGGTTGTAGTCAATGCAGTCTTGAGCTTCTAAAAGCTCACCTCACACTCGTTAGACCATATAAAAGGAGCCCCCTTTAAGGTCAATCTAGTCAATAGTGCAGCAATGGACGGGAAACCCTCCACAAAACGGTGCTAATAACCTGCCAAACACATAAACCTCCAAATATCTGTAGCTGAAGATAGTCTTGGCCAACTTTGAACTGCCTTAATATTCTTCGGATCCAACACCATGTGGCCCTGGAACGCCACTGAATCAAGATAGAACTCACACTTAGAGAATTTAGCATATAGCTTCTTTTTTCTCAAGGTCTGGAGTACGATCCTCGGATGTTGCTCACGATCCTCCTAGTTGCATGAGTAAACCAATATATCATCAATGAATACTAGGACGAAAGAATCAATATATGGCTCGAACACACTGTTTATCAGGTGCATAAAGGTTGTTGGGGCATTGGTCAGCCCAAAAGACATCATAAGAAACTTATAGTGACCATAGCGGGTCTTGGAAGCTGTCTTCAGAATATCTGAATCCCGAATCTTCAACTGATAATACCACGATCTCAAATCAATCTTCGAGAACACTCTAGCACCCAAAAACTGATCAAATAAGTCATCAATGTACGGTAATGGATACTTGTTCTTAATTGTAACTTTGTTCAGCTATCGATAGTCAATACACATCCTCATTGTACCATTCTTCTTCTTCACAAATAGAACCGACGCACCCTAAGGAGACACACTAGGCCTGAATAAGTCCTTATCAAGCAACTCTTGAAGTTGTTCCTTTAACTCTTTCAATTCCGCTGGTGCCATGTGATACCCTGGAATAGAGATGGTATGGTGGCATGTTCGAAAGGCCTGCAGGAAATACAACTAGGAAGCCTCTCACTACCGAAACTGGCTTAACAGTAGGAGCATCAGCACTAACATTCCTTACGAAGGCCAAATATGACAAACATCCCTTCTCAACCATCCGTTGAGCCTTCAACTATGAAATTACTCTATTGGGGACATAATTTGGGAGAACCTTTTCACTCAATCCTACGCAACCCTGGCATCCCCAACGTCACAGTCTTAGCGTGAAGCCAGTCGTGGAGATGTAACAGTAACTGGAGTAGCAACACAAAAGCGATAGAGGGGGACTTCGAGGTCTGCGGATGCGGCAGATGTACCTTGAAGTCTCTGGAGCAGCAGTATCTATGCAACTAAAAGCGAGGCTGGTAGGAGGTACCTAGATCTGCACACAAAAACATATGCAGAAGAGTAGCATGACTACACCACAACGGTACCCAGTAAATGTCAAGCCTAACCTCGGTCGAGTAGTGACGAGGTAAGGTCAACAACCCTTCTGGTATATATATATTAAATAAGACAGAACGAAATATCGTAGTATAATAAAAACTAAAATTTAACAAGAAGGAAATTCATAGGAGAATAACAATACAATACACTGGAATAACAACAGGAGATCTCCTGAGATATCGTCTCATAGTCCCAAAAGTAAATGTATAGGGGGATCCCCCAAGATACCGTCCTGTAGTCCCAAAGTAAATGTGTAGGGGGATCTCCTGGAATACCGTCCCGTAGTCCCAAAGTAAATATGCAGGGTGATCTCCCGGAATACCGTTCTGTAGTCCTAAAATAAATACGTAGCTCAAACAATGAAAGAAATAATTACAGCAATAGATCCTACAGTTTAGGCTAAGTACAAGTCAAGGAAAAATGGGAAATTAGTTAAGCATGATGCATAGAATTCAGATAAGTATTTAAGGCACATAGATATGTTATTCTAGGCTAAATAGGATAACTATACATGCTGGTATAACTCGAATACAAAGAAATAGGTTATTACTCAGTAAAAAATGGATTTTACAACGAATAGATCATGTATGCACTCGTTACCTCGCGTACATGACACTCACTTATCAATCAATACCAAATCCTAAGGGGAGTTCCCCCACACAAGGTTAGAAAAGCCACATACTTCGAACCAAGCGCAATCAATCGATAACAATGCCTTTTCCATGAATATCTGACTCCGAAAGACCCAAATCTAGCCAAAAGTAATTACATATCATAAATATAACTATAAGAAACTAATCTAATTAATGAAATCAAGGCTTAAGCAAGAAATTAGAAAATCGCCCCAAAAAGCCTCTATGGGCCCACGTCTCGAAAACGGGTAAAAGTCACAAAATATGAACACCATTCACTCACGAGTTTACACGTACCAAAATTATCCAAATCCGATGTCAAAATCCCAATCAAAACCCAAAATCTTAGTTGAAGAACTTCTTCCCATTTTCCCCAAATTTTCAACCCAAATACGAAATTAAAAGAGGGAATTAATGATAGATTAGTGGGATATAACCAAAATTAAGTGTAGAATCATTACCTAATCGATGTTCGGATGGAAAATGGATTGAATTTTTGATTTGTGGAAGAGTTGGTGTGGCACCTGCGAGAAATGGGCCGCAGAAGCGGCCATTGGGTCGCAGGTGCGGTCTTGTGTGTGTTGGTTAGTGGTCGCAGGTGCGAGGGATTTTCCGCATCTGCAAGCCCGTAGATGCAACGAGGTCCCCGCAGATGCGGATTTTTTTAGGAGGGGGCTGGAGTCGCAGAAGCGGATTGGAACCGCAGGTGCAGTCGCACTGGAGCAAAGCCTGGACCGCAGAGGCAGTCTCGCAGGTGCGAATTTTGGGCTGGGGTGCGCTTGGTCGGGTGTTTAAGTGATTTCCGCTGAAGCGGGCTTTCTTCTGCAGAAGTAGCTGCAGGTGTGGCTGGTGATCCCGCAGGAGTGAAAAGACCAGACATAGATTTAAAATCGAGGGTTTGAGTTGTTCTTCTCATTTTGAGAGTTTTGGGATGTGGACTTAGTTTTGGCAGCGGTGGTTTTATGAAAAATATTTTCAGGTGTTTGAGAGTCCTTCCATAATTAGTACTCCAAAATCTTTGGTTATCTGATTTGGGGTTTGACTAATGCGTGAATATATATTCTTCCCTTGTCTTACAAGAATATTCCTTTCATGCAGATTGAGTGTAGCATTCTGGCAAAAGTACACAATTCACGCAGCTTTATTCTTGAAGTGTTCAACTGTCATCATTGTTGGGTATGTGAAGTGCAATACTTGAGGAGTTGGTTCTAACAAATTGTCTGGTTTCAAATTAGTTGAGTCTTAGTTCATTGTATTAGATCATCGAGTTGTACTCTTTGATTACTTAATACTTTGGAAAAGTTGTAGTTCTTGTGAACTCTAATTTCTCAAGTCAGAGTCAGCTGAGATTGTGTAGCAATCGTGGTATTATTTTTGGTTGATTTTGGATCTTAGATTGCAAGAGTTGTAATCTGAACGTTCTTTTCCGCTCATTTTGTTTTAGTGGAGTTTGAGTTAAATCCTACAGGTAGATCGTGGGTTTTGCATATTTTAAGCTGGTTGATATTTTTCACGTTAAACTTTGTATTCTTTATTTACGGTCTTTATATTACTATGTACATAACTAAAGAAACAAGGACATAGACAAATCCTAGGGAGCATTTAATAAGAAAAGTGTGTTATTTGAATTGAATAGAGGGGTAGTAAAGGATTATGAGAGAATATATAAGGAATATACCTTATCAAGAATTCATACCTAAAAAATAATAACACGTAAATTGGCAGAGGAGGAATGGAGAGTCTATGCACTGACTGACTTATTTCTTAATGTTAGTGTATGTTAAAATGTCGCAGTAGGTGATTTATTATATTATTCACGTTGTCAGTCTCACTTTTTATGCAAGTAAAAATTTACTTCACAACTTTTATCTTCTATCCGATTTCCCGAATGAATAATTCTTCCCTTGTATTCCTTGCCTTAATCTCCGTTAAACGAATGTTCCTTTAATTTATCTTCTTAACCACAACTGTCTTACTGCGTCAGATACCGAATAGAACAAGTCATTCATTGGATTTTACACCACCAAATGGCATAACCTCGTTCGAGCCGGCTTCTGTTTTCATCCTCTTATATTTATTTGAACTCTTCACTCTTCCACCAATCCCTTTTCTCCTTTCATTAGTGGCATTAAGGAATTAAGTTTTCAGAAAGTGAAAGTCATCATAAAAAATGGATAGACTCATAAGCTTAGAGTCATCGAACATGGTGACAATAAGAATTGAACCAGGGCAGAAGTGCTCGGGCGAGTTAACTCTACGCAATGTTATGTACACCATGCCCGTGGCTTTCAGGCTGCAGCCGCTGAACAAGACTCGTTACACAGTCCGTCCACAATCTGGTATTATATCTCCGATAACCGCTGTCAAATTGGAGATCATTTACCTTCTTCCTCCTAATACAAACCTTCCAGAGTCAATTCCTCGTTGCGATGACTCGTTTCTTTTGCATAGTGTCGTGGCTCCTGGGGCGGCTGTGAAAGGCTCTAGTTCCACGTTGGACTCTGTTCCAATTGATTGGTTCACCACCAAGAAGAAGCATGTATTCATTGATAGTGCTATCAAGGTTATGTTTGTTGGTTCTTCTGTACTCTGTTATCTTGTGAGGAAAGGTTATATGGAAGAAATCAGAGAAGTACTGGAGAGGAGTGACCCGAAATGGAAGCCCGCCGATTCGGTTGATCATGAAGGTCAGACATTGCTTCACTTAGCCATTGCCCAAGGACGGCCTGATCTTGTACAGTTGCTCCTCGAATTCCAGTCTAATATAGAAGCTCATAGCCGGTCTGGTTCAAGCCCACTTGAGGCTGCATCGGCTTCTGGCGACGCCTTAATTGTTGAGCTTTTGTTAGCAAACAGAGCAAGTTCAGAGCGAACAGAGTTGTCAGCTTGGGGACCTATACATCTAGCTGCAGGAAATGGTCATTTGGAAGTGCTAAAACTTCTCATTGTAAAAGGGGCAAATTTGAATTCCCTCACAAAAGATGGGAATACAGCTTTGCACCTTGCTGTTCAAGAACGAAGGCGTGATTGTGCTCGCCTTTTGTTGGTGAACGGTGCCAGAGCCGATATCCAAAATGCTGGCGATGGTGATACCCCTTTGCATATTGCTGCAGCATCCGGAGACGAACATATTGTTCGGCTTTTACTTCACAAGGGAGCCGAGAAGAACATCCGTAACAAGTACGGGAAGACTGCGTATGATGTTACCGCTGAACATGGCTATAATAGGCTCTTTGACGCCCTTCGTTTAGGGGACAGCCTATGTGTAGCAGCCCGAAAAGGAGATGTAAGAACCATCCAGAGGTTGATCGGGAATGGGGCGAGCATCAACGGCCGTGACCAACACGGATGGACTGCATTGCACCGGGCGTCCTTCAAGGGGAAGATAGACGTGGTTCGGTCTTTGATAGACATGGGAATTGAAATGGATGGAAAGGATGGAGAGGGTTACACCGCCTTGCACTGCGCGGTTGAGTCAGGCCATGTTGACGTGGCCGAGATGCTTGTAAAGAAAGGCGCGGATGTTGAAGCAAGGACTAGCAAGGGAGTCACTGCATTGCAGATTGCTGAGTCGTTGCATTACTCTGGCCTCACCAGGATACTCATCCAAGGTGGGGCAGAAAGAGAAGGAACTAAGGTGGAATCACTGGCAGCACATAAACCGCTTAGGAAAGTGGCTGCTAGAGAAATGGATATTCGTAAAATCAAGAAAAAAGCTAGTAATAACGCAAGAGTTAGTCGGAGTAGCTTTGATAGAACTGTAACATTGTCTGTGGTGTGATTTACTTTGAGAATTGAAAACTATTCTCTGTTAATTAGAGGAAAGAATGTTTCATTCTAGTCTTAATTGGATGATTGATGTAGATCTTGGCTAGTGGAAAATTCCCTGATCAAGAGCTCTAGGATTCATTGAATCACCAGTGATATATTGTGAACTATGTTCAACATTGTAATTCTTCTATTCCATCAATGATTTCTTCTGTTCTATTGTACTTTGCACCCTCCAATTGTGATTTTATTCTCGTCCTATTTCTTAACTAACTTTACAAATATATTCCACTAAACTAGGCCTACTTAACATAATACATCAGGAGAGGATTAAGTACATATTATAGCCAGCTTATTTGGTGTAGATGGCACTGATGGTGCAATCTGCAAAAGTGATTTTATAACTCTGACTAGTCCTGAAGTATTTAGCCAGTAAATACTAGTCAGGAAACTTCCGCGGGTTTCTCCTTAGCGGAAGCGGATTTGCAGCAATCACGACTTGTGTCACCTGTCATCGGGAGCGGATGAACTCCCTTTTTCCACTGCCTACTAAGATTGAATTTTTCACTGCGTAAAACTCTGGCCATTCTTTTTATGATGATAAACGTTATTCATAGTTTTATTGTGGCCATTCATAGTTCAACATTCATTGTGGGTGTTCTTTGCAACACTCACATTGGTATTTATATAGGCCAGCACAAAGGTTTTAGGAGGAGGACACTAATAGTTTAATGGGCTAATTAGCATTCTTTATGAGTGGACCTGACCAGTAGCAATTTTCTAGCAAGTTCCTTCTCAAAATTATTGCATTTACGCTCCTATCGTCTAAAATTATGTGAAACTATTCATCTTTAAAGTGTCACCATTTCCTTTACTATTGTTTATCTTTAAAATTTGATAACAATTAAACTTATAATATGGTTTTAAGGACACGTGATTTTACCTAATACCAATTGATAAATGTAAAAATTAGTAACAGAAATTAACAATAAGATAAAGCAAACCATTGTTTGAACGGAATTCAGCCTTCAAGCTCGAATACCCTCGAACTGATTGGTGCAAGAACAGTTAAAATATAACAAGCTGATGAACAAGATAATGAACTAAAGAAAAGGCGTTATATTTCTTTGATATCTCAGAGTGTAAGATGTCTATAAAATGATTAGAATCCTCTTTATATAGTAGAGGAATCCTACCTATGATACAATTCTAATTACGAAAGTAAATCCCATGATTAGCCTAAACAACCGCCCTTGATTTGATCTATTCTGGGATTTCCGCCATGATCTTCGACCGGTCACGGATATCTCGCTATTCTATTATTGCGCTTTGCTCGAAGTCTGCCCTATTTGGTCTCGATCGCTACTGGCCTCGATCGGGACAGGCACCTCGATTCTCGAACTCGGTACCTTGTCTTCGTGCTCTGGTCTGATCCACTACGAGGCCGACCTTTTATGCAACTCCCCGGTCTCAATCAAAGAGTAAAATCGGGTAGGCCCGGTTTTAACCGTATACAAATAGTCCCCTCGTTTTTGGAATGTAATGAGAAGAAACGAATCGAGCTTTCGACTTTGTACCTCGACCTATCATGACGTCATTCTTGTGTCGTAAGCGACGGAAGTAATTGAAATGTCCCGTCAGTACAGTTCCCCAAGTCATTAATGAGCATCAGTTGGTGGTTGGCCATCAGTGCCTTTGAACCGTCGCTGTGAATCCTTTAAATAGGCTCCCTCTCTCATTGATTCAATCTTTACTTTCATTTTCTTCTAATCTCTTAAGCTTTCACATCTCTTAAGCTCTTCCTTTCTTCAAAATCTCCAGGGTTTGTTGCTAATCCCCTTTCAAAGACCAAGTCCTATCATCTCCTTCTCTCTTTAAACTTATACAAAAATGGCAAAAACATCAAAAATTGTTCCTCAAAAGGGAAATGCCTCTTCATCGCAGTCGGGCGGCAGTAAAACACGGTGGAGCCGCGCCCTGAGGAGTGCGTTCCCGAGGGTTGTGAACTTACTTCTAACTTCAAGGTCGAGAAAACTTCATCGGTTCCTGGTCAGTGCGAGCCAATGTCGAGATATATATGCTCGATAACTGAGAGTTTCCTTAAGCAGGTAAAGAAAGACTGCAGGGGAGGCAAAGAGGTGGTGATTTCGGCCCCCGAAGAAGACATCACTACCCATGTGGAAGGATTTCTAAGTGTTTACACTTACCCTTTCACGATGGGCCCTCTCGATCCCGACATCGTCGATTTTTTCCGTCAATATCAAATAACCATAGGTCAAATCCATCCCTCTTTTTGGCCGATTGTTATTTTGCTCTGATTCTTTGTGAGCAAAGTCGAGGGGATGTCTTTTACCCCCGACCATCTCATCAGGTTATACAGCCCTCGTCTATCGTGGCAGGTTAATAAGACTTCAGCGTCGGGCTACCAAGGTATTTTTATCGAGCATAGATGAGGACAATGATCGAGGATGGATGTGCCGGTTCATTCGAGTGAAGACTTCTGACCTAATCCTGGCCAAGAAGATGCCATTTCCCAAGAAATGGAATATGAAGCGCAAGTACAATCCTACTTATAGCTTCCATTTATTATTTTGTTTCCTTTCTTCTTCTCATCTACATCCATTTCTATGATGTAGCGGTCTCTTAATGCCCAGTGCAATTCCTAACCTCTAGAGCTGGGTTCGGAATCTGGCTTCGACATCTTCGTGTGTTGAGCGCTCATGGCATGATTTGGCAAGGGGCCGATGAGAGGCCAAAAATCATGGTAAGCTTCTTTTCACATATTTGATGCTTTTTTCTAAAATGTTTCTTTTCATACTCACTTGATTTCCCTTCATACAGGCCTCGGGAAAGATGTTGTAATGAGGTCCCCATCCGGGGAGGAAGAGGTTTCGCCCCCAGCCCCGAAACGGGCGAAGGACAAAAAGAGAAAAAGGGTCTTGATCTTCGAGGATCCACAACCCAAGGAAAGTAAGGCTCGTAAGACGAAGAAAGACACCACCATCCTGCCTGCGGTAGTTCAGCGGCTCGGAGAGAAAAAAGAAGAAAATAGAAATGACGGCTCCGAGCTGGTGGCCCGGGTGAAGAGGAACACTGAGGCCCCAAAGGCCTCTAAGTCGGTTAGGGTTGGAGAAATTCAGCCTCGAACTGAGGGGGTCTTGGAAGAGGACCCGAGCAAAGTCCCCAAGTTGTTGGAGACCGAAGATGCCTCCCGCCGAGATGAGTAGTCGCCGGGTATGTCCGAAAGGCCCGACTCCGATGCCCTTAGAAATGAAGAGAATGCCCCAAGTGATTCACTTGGGGCAATAGAAGTTGGGGACTCCCCGCTGCTTCCTTCATTCTCAGAAGGGGAAGTTCGAGAGGCTCAAGCCATGAAGGAGCCTCAGGTAGAAGGCGCCCTTGGAGGGAGGACCTTTTCCGAAGTTGTTTTGCCGGGGTCGACGCTGGCTTGAATGACTTAGATGTACTGAGGAGGAGCTTGGTCGAATCTTCCTCGAGTTTCAGAATGACTAGCCAATTTTCAGCCCCCAGTGTTGATCCCGAGTGCAAACAGACTATCATTATTATGGTCCCGGAGGATGCACGAGTCTTTACCGCCCCCATAGGGGTGGCCAATTACCTTCAAGGTCTGATCACCGAGGAATATCAAACTCTAATGGATGAGGTGGGAGCACCATGTCTCTTCAATGAGGCCCATCAAGCTTTGAATCGGGTAAGCCCTAACTTTCTTTGTTAACGCCGGTCTTCATACTTGTTTTTTTCTCTCCTTGCCTAATCTCTCCCTTCTATTTGTGTAGGCCTCGGTACTTTATCATGAGGGTTTCTTTAAGTCTTGAAGAGAGTTTAGCCGATATGAGGCTGAAATTCAAGGGCTTACCGAGGAGAAAAACGCTCTTATGCTTCTCGGTAAGCAAAGAGAAAAAGAAATCAAAATCCTCTGAGCTGACCTGGCCGTGGCCTAGAAAGAACAAAGAGAATTGACCGAGCAGGTAAATAAGGTCTTAGACGCTCATGACCACGGTTTGGGAGTGATGGTTAATGATTCGATCTCATAGGTCCAGCAGCTGCACGAAACGATCGTGCAACTCTGAGGAGAGGTAGATGAAGTGAAGGCGTAGTGTGGAAGTAAAAGATGGACCGCCTTGCCTCAGAGAAAGAGGCTGCTCGATCTCAGTTATCCTCAACCGAAATCCAACTCCAAGGCATGAAAGAGAAGAACTTGGGACAAGCCAAGAAAATTGAGGAACTGCAGGCTTGGTTGGACACCGAGCTTGCAGTGGCGAAATTTTAGGTTGAGATAGCTAAGGCCGATGCTGAGGCGATCGAGGCTGTCTTCCGATTTGGCGTTGAGGCCACTCAAGCTCGTGCAAAAGAAGTTGTTGATGTTGCTCAGGCTCGAGCATATTGGGTTGCCGATCATGCCAAGTGACAGTCTCTAAGAGAGACTCTTGAGATGATTCATGCTCGTTGCTTGTCGAGATCGAGAATGCGAAAGAGCTTGAGGCTGAAGCCAAAGCGTTGCTCTCTTCTGATAATGATGATTCTGGAAGAGCGAGTAGATCCGAAAGCGGAGGAGATCCCGATGGCGAGGATGTAGCTCCCGAGGAAAAAGGCACTTATGCTTTTTCTTTTTTGAATTTTTATGTACGATCCTGATCAGTCCTTGTAAATATTAAAAGATCTCTTTTCTCTCTGACTTGTCTTTATTTCAATTTCTGCCTTGTGAAAATTTTGTTTCGTCCACGTCTTGAAAACTTTCATAAGTACGAGGTTTAGGTAATTCGATCGAAGTTCGACTAGTGCAGTCTTTATAATCGAGCGATGACCCTTAGGTTTTAGTTGAGTGAGGATGACTTCTCAAACTCAAAAAATAGAATGGCTCTTAGGCTCTTGAATTATGCCGATATGGCCACAAGAGAATGGCTCTTTTCCCTTTTCGGCTTAAAAAGTTAATCATATAAAAATATGTTATGCCTTAGCATGAAATAGGGTTGTTCGAGAGTTCGAACAATCCGATACCCCTTTGGGGTTTTCGAGGGTTGATGTTATCGAAACCCATTACATTTTTGCCGAGGATAGCCCTTTTAACCGGTTTTGTGAAGATATTAGAAGGCCTATTTTCTATGAAATTCGGACGTCTTCGAGCCGTGTTAGTTTAGATGTAGCCTTTAACTTGGGATTTGCCTCTTGGGCTTGTTTACCGATTACACTTCGAGCTTGTTCG